CCCTATAGCACAAACCTCTCAAAAAGGAGGAAAAAAAAAAAAAAAAAAGCACGCTGGGCACGCATATGTGCTTACCCAAAATCCAAAAAGAGAATGGAGAAGTAATTGCTGTGTGGCCATCCCCTGGGGTCGGGGGTGGGGGGCAGGTGCGCTTCCTCACTTTCCCTCTCTCTGGCAAGTGAACTGCACCCTATAGCAAAGTTAAAAAAATAAAAATAAAAACAGGCTGGCAGGTGGTATGGTGGTTAAGGTGCTGGACTTGCTCCTGGCAGACCACAGTTCGAATCCTGGACCTGTCTGGTGACTTGCTTTCTCACTTTCCTTCTCCCTCTCTCTATCTACCTCTCTCTGGAGAATATATGTGCACTATGGCAAACAAAATAATTTTAAAAATTAAATAATGCTTTTTATAAAAATTTTAAAACGAGTTTTGGGATCTGAATCCAATCTTGAGTGAGTTAGACTTTCTGTGCCATTTCATCAGTTTTTATTTTTAATTATTTTTCTTTTTACTTATTTATTCTAATTTGACCAAGAGGGACAAAGTGAGAGAGAGAGAGAGAAAATGAGAAAGCAAGCCGCCAGGTCCAGGACTCGCATTTTAGTCAGCCATGTGAGTCCGGCGCCCCTAACCACCACGCAACCTGCTGGTCTCCATTTCATCAGTGTTTAATTATCGTTTTTTTTAATGGAGAGGTTTTTGCTATAGGGCACGTGCGCTTGCCGGAAAGACAGAGAGAGAGACAGAAACAGAGACAGAAAGGGAGAAATCACCCCCCAGGGGGAATGGCCATGCCACAATCCCTTCTCCATTCTTCTCTCAGGATCTTGGGCATGCGCGCATACACACCCAGTGTGTTTAAGCCTCCAGGTCCGGACTCAAACAGCAGTGGACTACATGGGAACCCAGCGACATAGCCATTGTGCCAACTGCTGGACCCAACTCTTTCTTTTTTTGGAGAGGTTTTTGCTATAGGGCACAAGCACTCACCAGAAAGACAGAGAGAGACAGAGAAACAGAAAGCGAGAAATCAGCCCCCAGGGGGAATGGTCATGCAGCAATCCCTTCTCCTCCATTCTTCTCCTGGGATCTTGAGCATGCACGCACATGTACCTGGCGTGAGTTTAAGCCACTGGGTCTGGGACTCGAACCACAGTCTACTACATGGGAGTCCAGTGACATAGCCATTACGTTAAATGTTGGTCCCCCAATTCTTTTTTAAGACAGATTTTTGTTAGAGGGCACGTGTGCTCGCCAGAGAGACATAAAGTGAGAATCACCCCCCAGAGGGGATGACCATGCCACAACCCTTTCTCTTCCATTCTCCTCTCAGCATTCTGGGTACACACGCATATGTGCCCAGCTTTTTTTTTTTTTTTTTGAGAGAGAGACTTTTATTTATTTACTTTTATATTAATTTTTTAAAGAATTATTTTAATTTTATTTATTCATTCATTTATTTTGTTTAAATTGGACCAGAGAGAGAGACAGAGAGAGAAAGAGAGAAAGTAAGCTGCCAGATCCAGGACTTGAACCGTGGTCAGCCATGTGGGAGTGTCCATCGCCTTAACCACTACGCCACCTGCTGGTCCCCATTGGAGAGATTATAGGCCGTGTATACTCACCAGAGAGACGGAAAGTGAAAAATCACCCCCCTGAGTGGGCAAACCCTTCTCCCTGTTTTAAGCTGCCACAGTTGACTGGATTGGGAGTCTAGCAACATAAACATTATGCCATCTACTGCCCCCCCCCAGAGTGACTTTTTTTTTTTTTTTTTTGAGAGAGAGACTTTTGCTTTACGGCATGTACACTCATCATATAGAAACAGACAGAAAAGGAGAAATCGTCCCACACGGGGTATGGCTTCGCTGAATCCCTTCTCCATTCTCCTCTCAGGATCCTGGGCATGCACGCACATGCACCCAGCGTGTTTTAAGCCACCAGGTCCAGGACCCAAACCATGGTCGACTACATAGGAGCCCAGCGACATAACCATTATGTCATCTGCTGGTCCCAACACCCAGCATGAATTTTAAACTGCTAGGTCTGGGACTCAAACCATGGTCAACTACACGAGAGTCCAGCGACATAACCAGCCACCTGCTGGTTCTGATCAGTAATTCTTGGGAACTTGTTCCTCTCCTGATGGGTTCATTAATTAAACTTTTATTCTATCCCCTAAGGCAGTGGCTTTCAAATAAGTTAAAAAGCTTGTCAAGAGATCAACAGCATAATGGCTATGTCGCTGGACTCCCATGTAGTCAACCGCGGTTCGCATCCTGGACCAGGTGGCTTAAAACTCACGCCGGGCGCCTGTGTGTGCATGCCCAAGATCTCGAGAGGAGAACGGAGGAGAAGGGATTGCGGAGTGGCCATCCCTCCTGGGTGATTTCTCGTTGTCTCTCTGTTTCTGTCTGTCTGGCGAGCGCACGCATCCTATAGCAAAAACCTCTCCAAAAAAAAAAAAAAAAGTTTGTCAAAATGCAGATTCCTGGAGTTGGCAGGTGGCATGGTGGTTAAAGGCTTTGTACTCCCACATGGCAAACCGCAGTTTGAGTCCTAGACCTGGCGGCTTGCTTTCTCTCTCACTCTGTCCCTCTCGGGACATAATATTTAATAATTTAATCATAATATTTATTTTTTTAAGAATCATTTTAATTTTATTTATTCGTTTACTTATTTTTACCAGAGAGGGACAGAGAGAGAGAGAAAAAGCAAGAAAGCAAGCCGCCAGGTCTGGAACTCGAACCGCGGTCAGCCATGTGGAAGTTCAGCGCCCTTAACCACCATGCCACCTGCCGGCCCCAATAATATTTTTTCTTTGAGAGGTTTTTGCTATAGGGCATATGTGCTCGCCAGGCAGACAGAGAGAGACAGACAGAAAGCGAGAAATCACCCCCCAGGGGGGGATGGCCACGCTGTAAACTCTTCTCCTCCATTCTCCTCTCAGGATCTTGGGCACACACACACGTGCCTAGCATGAGTTTAAGCCACCAGGTCCAGGACTTGAACAGCGGTCGACTACATGGGAGTCCTGTGACATAACCATTCTGCTAACTGCTGGACCCCTATTTATTAAAATTCTTTTTAAAAACTGCTGGGGCCAGCAGATAGCATAATGGTTACATCACTGGACTCCCACATAGTCGACCACGGTTCAAGTCCTATCCGCAGTGGCTTGAAGTTCACACTGGGTGCATGTGTGCCCAAAATCCCTAGAGGAGAATGGATTGTGGTGTAGCCTTCCTGCCCCACCCCCCCCAGGGGTGTGATTTCCCGCTATCTCTCTCTGTGCCAAGCATGTGTCCTATAGCAAAAAATCTCTAAAAATGCAGATTCCTGGGTCCCAGTACTTCTGATGCAGTCTAGAGATGGCCCCGGGAATCCAAGGTGAAACAGATGGTCCTGATGCAACTGGTCCATAAAATCTATGCGTGTGGAGGGCACAACTCCCTAAGATTCTTTCTCGTTCCCAGGGAGCATGGTGGGAGATGACATGTCCCAGATGTTAAGAGACCATGTTTTCCTTCTACTATGGACATATTTTGACTCTCAGGAGTAATTTTCCTCACCACAGGCATGAGCACTTCTGCCCCACCTACTACAGCTCTGCTGTGCCTACTTCTCCCTTTCTAACTGTAAGCTCTGGCGCAAAATTCACTCCCCAACATGTTCTGCCCTTTCCTTCAACCCTCACAGCAATCACAAGTAGCAGCAGCTAAGACAGGCAAGGCCTCATTTTCACCTGTTGAAACATTGCCATCAGGACATGCGAGTCTTGAACTACAGATCCATCAATTATTTCCAGAAAAGCCAGAAACCCAAGTTTCTGTGCTAAATTCCTAAACTTAAATCCAAATTTTATGGGCCAAATCCAATAGCTCTATAGTAATAAATCAATGTTTTGGTTGCCTTCTTTTGCTAAGGATCCTGTTAAAGCACCAAGAACAAGTCAGAGGCCAAGCGTAGCAAAGAGGACCACCTCCCTCCCACCCTGAAACACACTTTCTGCTTTAAACATTCTAAGACCAGTAAACTGGATCTGTCTGAGCAGGTAATTCCACATTTTTATCTTGGACAGCTTCTACAATAGTGAGAAACCTATGGGACCAGCAGGTGGCGTGGTGGTTAAGATGCTGAACACGTCCACATGGCTCACCACGGTTCAAGTCCCGGACATGGTGGCTTGCTTTCTCACTTTCCCTCTATCGCTTTCTCCCTATGTCTCTCTCTCCGGTCCAATTAAAATAAATAAATGAATAAATAAAATAAAAAATACGATAGTGAGAAACCTAGAACCTCAGGTAACTTAAGGGCTAAGTCAACAGGATGGGCTGGAATATTTGTGCCATATCCCCTAACCTTAATTCCCCCTGGTTACTAAGCTTGGGGGAGGGGAGAGGCAACCATGCCTGAGGGCTAGATAGAATCTGTTAAGATTTTCCAGAAAAAAGTAACAGGCGGAACCAGCAGTTGGTGTAATGGCTATGTCACGGACTCCCATGTAGTCGACTGTGGTTTGAGTTCCGACCCAGTGGCTTAAACTCACGCCGGGTGCATGTGCACGCATGCCCAAGATCCTAAGAGAATGGAGAAGGGACTGAAGCGTGGCCAATCCCCCGCCCCACTCCCACCCCACCCCGATTTCTTACTTTCTGTCTGTCTCCGTCTTTCTGGCAAACGCACGCACACTATAGCAAAAACCTCTCCAAAAAAATAAATAAATAAAATAACAGTCTTGACTTGCAGAGGCAGAAGTTAGAAATCTGGGGGGTGAGTGTGGGCGTGGGGAGTGCCAGGGCACTGGAAGTGGGAAGATGGTTACAGTGGGCAATCTTTAACCCAGGAACAACTGGAAGTGGGAAGATGGTTACAGTGGGCAATCCTTAACCCAGGAACAACTAACTATAATCCCCCAAGGGCAAACCAGCTGAGCTGCTTAGGCCTTGGCTGCAGTCACTACAGAATAGCATCAACCTCAGAAACCCTGCACACGGGGTCAAGTTAAGAAGAGACAGTTTATTCTGTGCTCTCTTTGGCCTTCACCCAGTTTGGTGCCACTTCAACCTTCAAACTCACTTCAGACAGGATAAGGTAGTTATGGAGGTTTGAAGGAAGGCCATACAACTTTCAGGGATCAAGGGGGAGGAAGCCTAAAATCAGGGAAGCCCAAGTAGCACTTTGCCAGGTTATGTCTTCCCCAAGCCTCTCATTTAAAATTCTTCCCTGATTCAGTCATTGAAGCCTCTTTTCCAGTTTGGGACTTAAGACTTCCACCAAAATGTGTTTATGTGCACGCACGCACGCCTCAGCTTGTCCTGGGACTCACAACTGGAAACGGTGCCAGGAAGTTGTGTGAATGGCCAACAAAGTGGACTTCCATTATAAAATGTCTTTTTTCTGTGTGTACCAAGGAAAAGATGCTCAAAGTCCAGATCGTTTTATTGTGTGGCAATTGCAGTTGTGCCAGCCCGCTTTTCTCACATCACCTCCTCTGATCCATGGTTCTCTGTACTCTTCCATGTCTGTGTAGCAGAAGTGAAAGTCAAAGTCCATGAAAGCCTGCTCTCCCCCCTTTTCTTGAGTGCAAGACAAGGCTGGTGACTCCTTAGAATTGCTCATAGCAGTGAGGAGCACTAATAGCAGTGGAGGGCCCCCACGGAGATTGTAGAGGCTGCCCCAAGGGCAGAAGGTAGTGGCAGAAGGTGTTTGTTGATCTTTCACTTTGCAAACTGGTCCAAGAACTTGAGGTAGACCTGCCTCTGGGGTGCAGCTGCTGGAATGAAGTGGCCACCAGAGTGGGTGAGGGTGATGGCTCCAGGGAATCGGCTAGCCAGTTGCATACTCTCCCGAGAAGGGATGACACGGTCGCTTTCCCCAAAAACATGGAGTGAAGGCAATGTCAAGGGGCCCTGTAGGACAGGTTCCTTGTGGTCAAGGCCCCTAGGGCAGAAACCAGATACCAGGATGGTAAACCGAGGCAAGGGGAAGCGAGGATCTCCCGCCTGGCCCAAGGCGCACACAAGCGCTGCTAGCGCAGCCCCCTGGCTGAAACCAAGGAGCCCATCAAAAGGCCCCAGCTCTTTCAGTGCCTGGGCCACCGTCCCCAGGGCTTCCTCCAGTCCCCTGCACACTGCAGGCTCTTCCAGGGCGGAGAAAACATCTACTTCCTGCTCTGAAAACCACCAGCCTCGAAGCTGCTCCTCGGGAGCGCAGGGCCCTAGGGCGATATGGGGGAAAGGGATGGGGTTAGGGCACAAGGGAATCCACGGGAAAAGAAGAGGGGGAGGGATGGAGGGAGGGACTGGGAATGAGAAGGGGGGATGAAGCACCGACCAGAATTAGGAGGCAGAGGAAAGTAGATGCCCGGAGGAGCAAAAGGCTGGGTGGAAGGAATGAGGGAAGATACGAGGAGGGGACACGCCAAAGCGGTGTTAAGGGGACGGGAAGAGACGGAGACCGGGGCATTTCCGGAGCAGGGCTCGTCTCACCGGAGCCCGGCGCTGCGCCCTCGGGGGCCGCGTCGGCGAGTGGGTGCGGGCCACTGAGGCACACGAGCTCGGCGCGGCCCCGCAGCGCCTTCCTCAGCGCTCCCGTCTTCTCGCGGGAGGCCCGCTCGCC